GTTTGCAAAATTCTTCAATATACCGGGTGTTAGTTAATATTCTATGTTTATTTCATTTAATTAATGTATGATATACTGAGCTAAGATTGTCCATATCCGATCTGAAATTCATAGCATATTTTGCAACTATAAGCTGAAGAGAGATTCGTATCGTCTTAACATCAAGAATGTGTTGCGTGAAAGAAAATAAGAAGACGGAACCCATGTTTTCTGAAATAACCGAGGTAAACTCAAATATTTTTTCAATTAAATTAAAAACGTATTTATTATATATTATTACAAAACAGTCCTGATGTTTATCATTTTATGTTAAATACGAAAGATTACAAAATAAATAATTTAATTTAATCTTTTCTTGATACAAATTTGCGTCCACAATCCATCAGGCGATTTAAAATAAGTCCAACAGTTTTTCAAAAACTTTATTGCAGTGGATCTTAGGCACAATTTTGTTGCACAACATCGATTGTTAGTTCTTAAAACAATATTTAACAGTGCACGGCAATGTGCAATCTCATTTGCAATGATAAATACCAGGTCGTTTGAAGATTTTCAAAAGTTTGTAATACATTGTTCTGCAAATTGATGGAGGATCCGCATTTTTTTGCACTTAAACTGCTTTAGTGTGTATAATTGTGTATGTACTTTAATTGGAAATTTAAATGAAGGCGAAACGCGAACAGGCATTTAGTACATGAGCAACCTTAACCTAGTATTTGCAGTATCTGCAGCTTCTCCCTTGATAATTTGTTGATTCATTTTTATCAGCGTTATAAAATAAACTGCACCGAACACAATAATATCACACCCAATAATTGATAAATCAAAATCACTGTCAGTTTAATAACGTAATGTGTATTTGAAAAGTTTATCAGATATACAGATGCACCCGCACTAAGAGAAAAATGTCGAATTCAAAGTGCATTTGTGCGTCCCAAGCCCCAGGCGCGAAGAGGCCGTGACCGAGAAAAATCGGTTCACCCTCCCATAAAAAGTTATCACTTCAAAAAATTTAAGCCGTTTTCGATCAACCCTTTAGCACCAACTTTTCTTAATGGAGCTTCTCGTGAAAATGCGATTTTGACCACTTTTTGCTCATTGGAGAGAAGCAAATTAAGCCACCATCTGAATGCGGAAAAAATCACTCTCAAAGTCTTCACTCTAGCCTAAAATGCAATATTTTGCTTCCCGAGATTAGATAAACCTTGCATGTGTCATTTAAAGCATTTGGTTGAATTACGCAACTCATTATCATGAAATGAAAAAAATGTAAGTGTAATGACGCACGTGAAAGGCGTTTACTCGGTAATGCGGCTTCAAAAACGCAGTGGAACCTGCACTGAAGAACCGGTCGCTGCTGAAGTAGTTCACTGATGACGTCTATGTTAATAAATGCCCTAAAGGCGCATAAAATATGGCAAATTTTTGCACTTTTACATTTACCTTGTGCCATTTTTGCAATGTGCGTATGAATCCGTTACAAGCTGGATATTATTCAACTTTTTTGCCTGCTCTAATTTTCATCTGTCCAACCTTAATTAAAACATAATTAATAAAAACCTGAACTGAGGATGAGCAAAAATCCTCCCAAAATGTAACAAGCACTAGTGGATTGCATCTTCAAATGTCTTGCACTCGACTTCTTACACGGGTTGCTTGATCACAACGTTTCGGTTGGTAGTACTTGCAACCATTTTCAGGCGAACGCTTTCAAGCTCGAAAACTCAGCAGTTTCAAGCAATGGCCGCGAAAACATAACTCTTTTAATATCTCATTGACACTAAAAATTTTCGAAATATCTTTAATGTACTTTTCTCAATTGGACGCTCGTTCTAGGAATGATTAATAAATAATTCATGCAAATTCAATACTTATGATTATTATAAACTGTTCGAGTTTTTCGTCAGAAGACAGTTCTCATAAGTCGATGCTAATGGGATTATCCGGAACTGATGCATAAAAACATATACCTATGTATAGACAATGTTGAAACAATGGAATCAATTAAATAAGCATCCCAATTAATAAGCGAGAAATGTTTATTTTTCTATTCACTCGCGTAGCACGATGAAACTGCTATTTAAGATTAATGCATGTAAATCCAGTCGGCTGACTGCAGAAATTCGTCGCTGATGGAAACTTTTTTTGCGAATTATTGCAGGTTGTCCGTACAGTCACTGGAGAGCTCATACGAAATCTATGCGACTCCTCGTCCTTTGACAGGCATGAACAAAAGGAAACTCTGCACTAAAGAGCGAACGGCGTGCAATGTTTATCGCCGACTGATTTTATTGGCTTGGAGGCGATCCAGAGAAGCTGCCAGAAGCGCCAAAGAATTGACAAAAAAACAGGAACTTCAAGTGAGTACTTTTACATTCGTGTTTTTTTGCAATGAAGCCGACAGTTAGATTGGTTAATGATCAATTAAATGTAGTTTTTTTTGGGTTATTTTCGCAGGATTGAACTGTTCCTGTGTGAGATATACAGGATGAGTCAGTTTATAGCAGCATAACTTTAACGGTTGATAGAAAATCTAATTTTAATGTGAAAAAATCATACATACATACAGAGTAATTCAAAATTGGCGTCATTACCATTAAATAAATACCGGCAACATTCCTACCACGTATGTAAGATCACATTAAACCAATGGATTACTGAACACCGGTAGAAATTGAGTAGGAGTTAATTAACCGAATACGAGGAGCTGCTCGAGAAGAGTGCACAATAAGGTGATTGCACAGGCACTTGTTTGGAGTTACAGACTCAAATGTATGTTTTTGTGATTTGTAAACAAATTAGTAATTCGAGGTTAGGAGTTTCGAAATAGGTCCCGTCATTCAACGATTCCTGTTGAATTTACCGTTTGTCCTTGTCTATCTTATTGTCACTTTCTCTATTTATCCATGGTTGCCGGAGTTTTAAATAATTACGAACCAACAGGTATTTACGTAATGTTAATTAGGCAGATTACCTTGAAAACCATTGTTGCCGTTTTTCTAATATAGTTTTCTGCAAATTTCTCAGTTTTAAATAACAATAAATTTTTTTACTATTTTTTTTTCTACTCCTAAAACACCGCCAGACAACACCTCCAGAGGAATGACGCCAATTTTGAATCACCCTATATAATGAAAATGGCGTCGTTTTTTTGAGATACAGGGTGGCAAAGTTAACATTTTTCTCATATGTTAAAGTGTGAAGATTCGCTGTGGGATATTTTTGCGAAAATGGCCTCTTGTTGAACTATCGACTTTGAGAGTTGGGCGAAATATGAATTTTTCATTGCAATTTTTTTCCAAATTAGTATTTTTCATTACTTGTGCTTTATTGCCGAATATTTAAAAAATCTTTGATAATATATATTTTTATTTTTATCATTGATAATATACATATTGACTTTATTTTTAATTGCAAAAATGGGCGACGTGCGATGATATTTTTTACGGGTCATTTTAGCATTCAAAACTTTTTTTATGGTTCTTGTTTTTGGTCTTTTGCGTTTTTATGTAGGTATCTTGCGCCGTTTTTCAGTTATTTGCAAAAGACTTCGTTATTTCCTGCTAAGCAATTGTGCAAGAATTAGATAGAAATAAGATATTTGTTGCTTGTGAGGCACGTTTGATCATTTTGTAATCTCCAGATAAAAATCTCAAAAATGCAAAAGTTCGAACGGAAAATAAAATCAAACTTCTAATTTGAACTCCTGCAAATGAAAAACAAAGAAACTGCGGTCGTGCGTTGGTATAAATTATTTTTTCAATTAAAAATAAAATCACCCTGAATTTTTTGGAATATTTGTAATATGAGATTATTAGGGTCGAGGGATTTTTTTTCGGTTACGAAAGTTGAAACAAAAAGGTTTTTTTGCTAAAATCAAAACATCGCTTGAATCCCTAAGGCAAATCACCTTGCATGACTTCTCACGATATCAAATTTTTAGGCTCCAAAACGAATTTGCTCCCAAAACAAATAAAATTAATTTATCTCTCGATTCATTCACAAGATGAAAAGTTGAAAAGTCGAAAATTTTCTAAAAAGTTGAGAATTTTTAGTCTTTTTTATTGTTTTTATAATGGCTATTAAGACGCTGAACTGATTTCGACCTTAACAAGCTACCATCAGGAGCTTGTTAAGGTCAAAAGAGCAAATATTTAGGGTTGAAATCTGTTTTAAAAATATTGATGGTCAAGCTCAAATTTAGTCAAATTAAATGAGTAAATAGTTAAATTTTTGAACAAACGAATTAAATATCTAATAATGATAAGGAAGAAAATGCCTTAGCTACGTTAAAAATTAGATTTCTGATAACAATTTTGTTATAAAAAAGGGGAAAAAAATGATGTATTGCTCAACAAAAATGTACGCACAAATATACCGGATTACTTAATGAAGTGGATCAAATTTGATCTTATGTGAAGGTGAACCTGGCAAAAAACGCTGTTTTACGTCGCAGTAAGTGAAGACCGTAAAAACGGCTCTTCAAAGTAATTTGTTGACAAACTAAATCGTTTTTGATGTTCGATTTAATTGGTGAATTTCGTTCACTTATTGCCCTGCATTTCAATTGATTATTATATTCTGTAAAACTTGGCATTGTCGTAAAAATTTCTGTTAGTGAGAAGACAGGCAAATAATGGCTCACTTCAACTGACTAACTCCCTGAAGCGGACATAAATTTATCTATGATTTGACGGTCTGAACATCGGACAAGGCGCGACGCCAAAGATGTTATTTGGCGAGCGTCGCGACGTCGATGAGTGTACCATCAGCGTCTGATTTTGCTTTCCAGCGCCCAACTTCCTATACCGCGTTTCTACCATCTATTAATAGAACATGCGATGAGTATATCGACTATGGTGTAAACTGACACCCAACTTGCATTATGTTTGCGAAAAAAAATCGTCCAGAAATTAGCTTTTTGTTGCTGCACCACAAATATTTATGAACACTGAAAGCTTCAAGCCAACAGTTTGTTTAGGTTGGTCAATTAGAATTGCAAATCGACGTGCTAAGCAAACTGCGAGTGGCCGAAGGTCAGAAGCGCGAAGAAGCTCAGAGCGAATGCCAAAAGCTGAAAAGAAACATCGAAGTGTTGGAACTTGAGAACAATCAACTGGTCGAGGTGCTGGAAAAGCCGACTCTATTGAAAGTCTTTCACTACCAGTTTGGCTCCTGTTTCAGGAAACGGAAGATTTGCGCATTTCGTACGACATTCTCCACAATGAGCTCAAAGTGGCCAAAGCCGAAAATAACTTCCTGAGTGAGCAGTCTATTACGTTTCAGAATCTACTGGGCAAGAAGAAGGCGGAGATCGAAGTCCTGGAGGAAAAGGTAAGAAGGGTAGCTTTTTCCAGCTTAAAGGGCGGTAGAAACACAACAATCTTAGCACAATTTCATCTAGTGATGAGCGAGTTTGGTCTTGGTCTCAATTTTGCAAAAAAGCAAGAATTGCAAGAATTTTGCGATATTGAACCGCATTAAATCTGTTCTCGTAGCCCTTAAATATGATATTAAAATTGAACCAGTTTTTCGAAAACGTTTTACCATTAATGAGAAATCAAATTCATTCCTGGGTTTCAGTCATTTATTGTCTC